ACTTTTGTACTATAAAAAGGAATTGATGTTTTAGGAGAACTCATTAGAAATCGAAAGGCTTTGGAATACTTTAAATAAGAAAATATCGTAAAAAAAAATTAACATAAATTTAAAAATGAAAAGTTTATTTATGATTTCGTTAGTATTTGCCATTACATTGGCACATCCTGCTCAGAAGGAAGACAATAAATTTAAGCATTGCTATAAACCATGCCCAGCTATTTATTTACCCGTTTGTGGTTATGACGGTTACAAACATTACCTTTTTGCCTCTGAATGTGATATGGAAGTGCAGAATTGCGTATTACAAGTTAGAAAAGCTCATGGTGAGTATAATTTATAGTTTATTAATTTTAAAATTTAAATAAATTTATAATTATGTATAACGTTTCCTCCTTTTTGGGTTATTTTTCAAATAATTTGTGTATATAGTTTATATGAAAACTGCATTGTATAAATGTGATGAGAAAAAATGTAATAAAAGATGTACTAAGGATTACAGACCAGTTTGTGGTTATGATGGTGAAAAATTAAAAACATTCTCTAATAAATGTTTATTTGAATACGAAAATTGTATGTCTAATGGCAGTAAGTTTATCCAACTTTCAGACAAATATTTTTATATTTTATCGTAAGAAAATCGATTTTATATTTTTTATTTTCCTTTAAAAATTTTATAGAATGGGTTAGTCTTAAATCAGGAAGATGTGAAGATATTGATGAGAATAAACTTCCAATCCCAATTCCAACGAAAAATTGTAACAAAGCTTGCACTTTTGATTACAATCCTGTATGTGGAACAGATGGTGTCAATATTATAACATATGGAAATTTGTGTACATTTGAAGTGGCAAATTGTAATGCAGATTTCCGTAAGTTCAATTTTTTTTTATTTTAACTTATTAATTTAGTTACATATTAGGATTAGCTTATTATTAAGATGATTTATTTTCTTTTTATATTTCTGCAGATTTACGTTTATTGAAATCTGAAAAATGTTGAATAATTGAAGATTTTCCCCGGATCTAGAATCATGTATTTATCTATATCTCATACAAATTTACTATATTAGTTTTATTTATAATATTTTTACCTTATAATAACTGTGATGTATAGAAGAATTGTATATATTATGATGTATATGTCATGAATTATACGGAAAATAAAAATTTTTAAAATTAATTTCTTGTGAGTATTATTTAATGTGGTAAGAGGCTGTTAACAATTCAGCTTAAAATTCTTAGTAAATTAACAATATCATTATTTACTATTATGAATAATATTGTGACTAACTTGTGATCTAAAATTTCAATTCAAATGCTGCTTTTTATGTTATTAAAACGTGATCAGGATGCAATGATGCACTTAAAAATTGTTTTATTTTCTAATTTTGCATTTGCTCCATGTCCAAAACCTATGGGATGTGATAGAGGATTTAAGTTGTTCTTTTTGTTTCGGTGTAAAAAATTTTTAAACTTTCAATTTTGCAAGTGCTGTTGCATACTGTTTCACTCTGGTTATTGTTCAAAAATTTTGCAGGTATTAAATCGATTGCAGTTTACGGCTTGAAAATAACCGTATGCAATGAGAACGATAATCAAGAATATATTCATTCTTTTTACCTAATAAATTATTGCATGAATATTACATAAATTCGTCATGAGTTATTTAATTTTTTGGCATTGAGACACAACAACTTAGCCTATGTTGGTGGCCTTTTTAAATTATTGATCATCTCTAGTTTATGTATTTTTTTAAAATTTCGTATTTCAGTTTCTTGGAATAACGGTGCAATACTTTTTCTAGGAAAACAATTAAAAAAGTAGAATCTCTACGATAGAGCGGTTTAAATATTAAAATAGTTTTATGTAATTCTATGAATCTAATTGAATTTGAGAATATCTAACATTTTTGATGAAATACGACTGTATTGTTTTCAGTTTTCTTATTTTTTTCCAAATTTAAAGAATTAAGGTAGCTTTAGAAGAGCTATAAAGATTTGGATCAAAGGATATTCGATAGGATTTAGCGAGGAAAATTGCAGAGTTTTAGCATTCGACCTTTTAAGGTCTGAAGTAATCACCCTAAACCCTTTTTGACCATGGTTTAAATTTGCCAAATATTTTAATATGTGGAATGGGATGCCAAAGAGAAAATCAACTAAGGTTTTGTGAACTTTTCTAAAAATTTTTCAAGAGAAGAGTAAACAAAAGAATAACTATGCAGAATACCATCGTAAAGGTATTGAAGACCACTAGAACTTTTTTAAAAGGGACATTTTTGAAAATTTGGTTCTTAGCCCCAATGTTTGTTTGTTTTCGAAATTGTTAGTTTGAATTATTTTGTTTTAAAATGTAAACTTTTAATTTTTTTTGGGAGTTAAAGAATCTCATGTCAAAAACTGTTATTATTTCATAAAAGCAGGGTCTGGAGTTAATTTAATAAAATATATCACGTTGAATAAAATACTTTAGAGTATTCCCAGGTTCAAATAAATCACTTTTTTTTTTGTTAGATCTCTTTAATCTATGCAATTATGTCTATATGTGCAGGTAGTTTCAGAATGCTTTCAGGTCTAAGTATTCAGAAGTCCGAATTTTTCTAATTAGCTAATTAAATATAAAAAAGTTAAATTAATTATCACGATTTTCCACTTATATTTTCAATTCGTTATCAAATGACATGAAAAAAACTACTACAACTTCAGTAATGGAACATGATGTGAAACTTCCAGTTTCCGAGTATTTATTTTACTTATTTTTAGAATGTTTTTATATATATGTATATATGTGTATAAGTAAATATTTTGAAATTTCTAGTTTATTTTATAACTATATATATGCAAATATTTTTAATATTTGATTTTGTGCAAATTGTTAAATTTCAAGTTGCCTATATAAAAAGAACATAAAAATTGTTTTTTACGATAAAAAATTACAAGCAGATATAAAGATTTTTATCTTAAAATTACTTCTTTTCATGGGAAACTTCTAATTTAATTATATTGAAGATAACATGTTGAATGGGTCTTCATGTAACTTAATTAACTGTGAAAATCAAATAAAATTTGAAAAATGAAATAAAAAGCGTTTTGCTAGTTGAACATGCTAGAAAATCAAGAATATGGTTTTTGCAAATGAATATCAATTCTGTACGTATACTGTAGTATTGTTGTTGTATGTAGTTAAGTTCTTATATACATATGTAGAAGACTTTTTCATATTACCATTTAATGAATAATCTCCGGTAAAGTCGGTTTCGATAAATTTATATATCAATATAACTGGTATGTAAATCACAGATCAGTACAGATCCTTAAAGAATAGAGGAAAACATATTGATTAAGAATTCAATTTTATAGTGATTAAATTGTAATAAAAATCTCTCCGGTTTTTTGTTAATTGGCGTTCTTTGATAATCTCCTAATATGCTATAACACAATAAAATTAAAAAAAAAACATTTCTTTGTTTTTATTTCAAATTACAAAGGTAATATGATTTATTTATAATTTTGTATTTTAGTTTATAGAACATAATGTTTTTTTATGTTCAATCAAATTTTAGTATTCATGACATTTTCCATGCTGTCTTACAAGGGCCCAATCTTAAACGAAAAATAAATTAATTTTATCAAATTTTATGAAAGTAATTAAAAGGATATTTTCATAATTAAGATCTTAATCGACACTTACTGTAATTTGATAAACAACTTTCTATTTCAAATTCACATTTATTTGCGAAATCCTGAAAAACAGTTCCATTAAAACCACATACAGGATCATAAATGTCTGGACAACCTTTTTGACATTTTTCTTTACTCTTTTCATTATTGCATTTTTCGAATGATGCCAATGAAAATACTAAAAAAACAATTTTTTTTTGTATAAAATTTAACTATAAATTAAATAAATTTTTGGAACATGTAAGTGTAAGATATTATAAATTACAATATTTATGTTTTGTTTGACGAAAACAATTCTCAACTGCCATACTACACGGTGATGAAAATACATGATATGTAGTGCCATCAAAACCACAAGTTGGAGAATATATTGCTGGACATGGTCTCATACAAAATTTGGCTGCTAAATCATCTTCATCTGCTAATAGCTTAAAAGCAGTACAACCGTTATATGCTAAAAATATTAATGATAAAATTTTTGCAAAAAACATTTTTTTAATATATATATGTAATTTTATTAAAGCCCCGTTGGTAAATTACTGATATTAATAAGGTTGATAATTGCTTTATTTATACCCTTTTCTTTTGGAATAACAATTTGCTATTTTACAATGTTAGATAAAATCTATATATGATAATCAATTATACAATATCAAGAATTTTTTTCCAAAATTCAAATATTAATTAACTAATTGTTTAGTATAAAAATATTTTCCATTTTATGCGTCTTATTCTTAAATATTTGATAGATACGCTCAAAAAAATTTTTGTTTTTTTTTTTTTGTTTTGAAAAAATAATTTTTGCTAATTTAGTGTGCGTTAAAGAAGGGACGCTCATCATTTAAGAGTTTAGTATAGTTTTAAAATAAAAGTTAGTAAGTTAAGATCAACTTAAATTTAGTTATTTTGTTATCGGCCACGTTTCCTAAATAAAATTTCTCATGTAAGTGTTACATATTGATAAAAATGTTTAAGTGGTATAAAACTAAGAGGTTCGCTCTAAAATAAAACTCGTTTTTAAACTCGTATATAACATGAAGAGATGCAAACGCAGAACAGATTATTATTGGAAGAGTCGGATAACACAAAAAAACATGTTATTTTTGCTTTATGAATTGAAACATCACTTTTAAACAGATTTTTTTTGTATTGTAAATAGTTTATTACAAATCTGCTCTTATGTGCGAGTCAAATGATTTCTGATATTTACTTTTTTTTTATGAAAAGAATAATCGTCATTGGGGATCGTGTTAAATTATAATATTTAATTTATAAATGGCGACAGATTTATTGTTTTTAATTAAAAAAAAAAAAAACGTTTTAAAAAAATGCAACTTAATTTTATTAATTAAATTTCATTAATCTTTTGTTTATTATATATATTTCTATCACAGTATTTTTTGTAGAAACTTTTAACATTCACCTTCTTTAAGAACTGATAAATCTGAAAAAAATTTAATATGTATAAAATAACAATTAAATGTAAATTAAAATTGGTTATTACAACACATAATATGTAAAACTTACTGAAATTTGATTGGCAATTACGAATTTCAAAGTCACACATATTACCATAGGTTAAACCATCAGAACCACATACTGGAGCATAAATTAATGGGCAAATTTTATTACATTCGCTAGATACGTCCAAGTTTTCTGCGACAGATTCATCTTCTTTGCATTCACCTTGTTGAGCAACAGTAAAATCTAAAAATAAATGTTATTTGTGTATATTATTTAATTTAAGTATTAAATTAAAAATTAAACTTAAAAATATTTTAATCCGTCACATTTCGAATAAATTTGCTATTTTGCTTTAGAATTGCACTTTGTGCGTATTTCAATTGAAGTATTTTCACATATATTTTTTGTCACTCACCTAAATTTTAATTTTAATTATACCACAATTACAATTTATTAATAACAAATTTATAACTAAATAAATTATTTAATAATGTGGTATTAAAATATTATCACCATTAAATATTAAATTATCTTTTGACTTACGTGTTTCTTTTTCGCAATTTAGAAGATCCATTGAACATGAACTGGAAAATGTTTTAAAATTTTCGCCATCATATGCGCAAACTGGATCATAAATTTTTGGACAAGGTCTTAAACAATTATTTTTTAAGTGAATAGATTTTGATAATGCAATAAAAAGTGAAAAAACTAATAAAACGGCTATGGATTTCATAATGTTTATTAAATTTATATTTTTTTTTTGTATTGAAGAAAAAATTATTTATAATAGTAAAAGGGTCGATTTGTTACTCAAAAATTTCAATTGAACCTGATAAAAAGTTTTACAATTAACCACCTTTATAAAGTTTCTTATCATGTAGAATAGTTAATACCGCACAGTATAACGCTTATCTTTCGATAATAAATAATGTTTATTTTTCCATTTGGGATTACAAAAAAAAAAATCTGATAGCTTTAAATCAGGGTAATTTCGTATCATAATTCTGTCAAAATAACAGTAAGTTTTTTTTTAGAATAAATGGAAATTGCTATATAGCAAAATAATAATTATTGCTCACGTATTTGCTGAATTGCTTCAAAAATTTAAATTAATATGTATTTACTAAAATCACATAAAAAATACTAGTTACGAATAATTTTTAAGTTTCACTTTTCCAATGAAATTAAGATGAGCAATATAGCTATTTATGAATTCTACTACGGAACATTACAAACTTCAACATCCTGTTGTTCTGAAGACCATATTAAAATATCTCAAGAACAAAGACTTTTATCATAAAATGTGAATATTAATTACGCCTTAAAATTCATAATCTGTTAAATCAGTGTTTAAATTATCGTTTTTTTAATGATTTTTATATATTTCTATAGAATTGTTAAATTTTCATATTTTAATGTGCAATCTGGGGCGGACTTGAATCATATAAACTTTGTTACATTAAAAAATAACTTACAATAAAAAATTAAATAAAACTTCGTTTTACGTATATTACATTAAAAATGTAATAAAATAAAAAGAAAAAAATAAATAGATATGCAATTACAGTTAAAGTATATGAAATGTCAGCTCAAAATAATTGCCTACATTCAGGATGACGGTATCTTTTAATTAATTTACTAATCGGCATGAAAAAATTATATAAATGCACAGAATATTTGAGAGAATATTGATAAGTTGATAAAATTAGTATTAAATCGAAGAATTTTCATTTTGTACTTATAATAATAGTAAAAATAATGAATATGCAAAGTAATTCAAAAATATTTTTGTAGCTACTCAGGATTTAAACAAGAAATAATTTGTTAAAACGGTTTTGAAATCAAAATTGTTTAATATTATCTGTACCTAAGATGGCAGTTTTCAGATAGATTTAATTGATTGTTAAATAATTAAACATAATATATAAATATATATATATATATTATTATAAATATTATGCATATTATATAATATACATAATTATATTTTTATAAAAAGAATTAAACAAATTACAAATGGCTAAATACCCAATTGTTGGTTTTCGTAATTGCTTCTACAGTGTTTTTGGTTCCTTAACTTAGTGTTAAGGAACCAAATTTCAAATATTAGGTTTAAAAATTATTAATATCTTTGTTACTCGTTCCATGTAAACCAAAATTTTGAAACTATTCCCATCATGTATATACGTTAAGTTAAAATTTTCTTTTTAATTTAGAATTACGATTTGATATTGAAATATTAATTATTTTTTATTGAAAAATACGATTAAAACAGAATTTGTGTGATTTTATTGCGCCAAATAGTTTTTCATTCAAAATTATAATGATATTAGCTTAAATTGAGTTTAAACCTAAAAGTTTAAATGATATTTTTAGTTCTTTTTATCTTCCGCTGTCGAATCTTTCTCTATCTTTCCGTTTCCTTTTCTTGAACCTCGGCTTTTATTTATTACTGGTATGGGACAATTATTTAATGCTGTTTTTTGGAATTCTGAAATTATTTTAAATATAAATTAAACTTAAAAAAAAGTGTTTTATAAGTAGAAAATATGACAATATTAATTTTAATTCAATCAAATCAAAATTTTTGTATTTGTTTGGAAAATTTGTCAACTTATGCAAGTATTTTTTAAAATTTTAAAATATTTATTTTATTAATTAATTAAAATCGTAATTAAGTATGAATAAATTACTCACTTTTTTCAGTATGAATACAATTGAAACGTTTAAGGTGACAATTATTTTTAAACATGTGATTAATTTCACCATTATATCCACATACTGGTTTATAACCGGCATTACATTTTAAACATTTATTCATAGCATCTGAATTAGGTAGATCCAATTTATGAGCATTTGAGGCTACAACTGATTTATGATGTTCTTGATGAGCTTTTTGACATAATCTCCTTTCAACATGACTGTATTCTTCATTATTAATATAAAATAAATAAGATTTCAAATTTATAAATATTTCTTCAATATTTCCAACAACAAAAACCGATCTATATATATATATATATATATATACCTTCTTTTTCAACACAATTGAACTTATCCATCCAACATTTATTCATAAAGAAACGATATTGTGTACCATTGGTACTACAAATCCATTTTTGTCCAAGTGGACAATGTTTTCTACATGATTGTTCTCTTTTAATATGCTTTGAGGAATTATGAGATGATGAAACAACACAAATTAAAATTCCTAAAAGGAATATACAGCTTATTTTATTTAAATTCATTATTGTATATTCGTTATACTAAATTGAAACAACTAAAAAAATTTACTTTGATTTTATTCTAATATTTTCGATATAATTAACTAGAAGTTACAAATAATAATGAAAGACCTCTAAAAATCTCATTTTATTTTTGCTTTAAATATGATTAATACATTTATTTCGTCTTATTTTCTTATCTATTAATGAAATTATTGGCTTATCAGGAAGATAATAAATTTTTTTTTTGGTTGTTTTCGATGCAAACTCTCAAAATACGACAAAAAAAAGAATTTACAAATTTGTATGTATTATTGTTTTGGCAATCCTAAAAAATATTTCCTGAGCTTCTGTATTTTAAAGATTAATTTTTGTTTTATTGAATATTTAGTTCAGTATTAATTGACATTGAGCCATTGACTAAATATTTATTCAATTAAAACATTAAAGTTGTCGAATTTTTAATCAAAAATTTAGTGTCATTTAATCCATTTGCTACCTTCATTTCATATCAGTGCACATGATATAATTCTTATTAACTTTAATAGGAAAAAAGAAAAGTATAAGTATCCAATATTGTGAAAACGAGGAGCAGAACATCAAATAATGCAAATAGTTAAATTTTTAGAGGTTTTGTCTGAAATTTATAATGTTTTCAGTTTAATTGTTATTAATTTAATTGCAATACTTTTGCATTAATGGTGCATGTGTTTCGTTGTGCACGACAAATTCTTGTATAAAATAAGCCTCTTTGTAAACGGCTTTCATTTTATATGCAGTAAATTTACTCTCATCCTTGTTCTTTTGGAAATCAAGATTGCTCCAAATCAATACCATTTGTAGTTTATACAATAATACAAACACACTACCACTTTTATGTATTGTTAATATACTTGCTTACTTTTTTTTCATTTACCTTTATTTTATCAATTCAGTGGACTTACGATAAGATTTCTATATGCACTCTTCATTGTATTTATATTAAAAAAACTCATTGTTATTAAATTTTGATGATCAATATTCATCATTATCAATGAATAAATAAATACAAAATGTCCCATAACTTGTCCCATAATTATATTAAAATATACATATACATTTATAGGTATTGTATACATATTTATTTTATAGAAAGTGATAAATCATTATTAAATTAAAATTTATTTATTTGTATTAAAAAAAAATATTTCGAAAAAAAATAATCTCGCATAAAACGCATGCTGTTTAAGGGTTTCAGATTGCTTTAGTGGTTTGATGAAACATTCGTTTTGGAAATATAAATATAATAATATATGAGATTAAGTCAAACATGAATTAATTACTGATTTGCAACCATAACTATATAAATAATTTCTTTTCATTCAAAAATGCAACTTTTTGGATCATTTTAATTTTTAATAACTCTATCTAAAATGCTGAATTCAATTAATTAATTTAAAATTGCTGATAATTTACTGGTTCTGCGATTATTTTTAGTTTCAGTTTCTATAAATAAAGTTATACTTTATTGTAATCAATAAAAGTATAATATAAAATTAAAAAAGTAGTTGTGTTTATCAAGTTCGTACTAAATTTTATTAAAATATTATAAAGAAAAGAGAACTTAAGATGGGCAGTATGTGATATACGCAGCGAGATAATTCATTATAAGTTATTATATATTATTGCAATTTCTTATGAAACGTAATTGAATATAAAATGGAAGCAATTTTATTCTACAGTATATTAATATTCAACTTACACATTAAGCATACTTAAATGTACTGTATATTAAATTAAATTTGGAAAAGGAAGTGTTTAATCAACAATAATATACTAAATTAACACTCGAAACTTTATCAAAATTCGCTTCTTTCAAAGCTTTTGATAAGAAACTTCCAATAAATTGGTGCTTTTTAATTAATAAGTAATGAGTTTTATATAGGTTCTGTGAAATAATATGATTTCTTGGACAGTATTAATTTTAAATTAAAAACAAAATCATCTTTTTACAATTAATAATATTAGTTTTACATTTCTTAGTAATTGATAAGTTTTATATTGAAAATGATGACAATATTTGAATGTAAATGAATTTTTCCCTACCATATTTTTATTCTTAATAATTATTTTGTTATATTTAAAAATTTCAATCTGAAAGTTGACATTCGAAGAATGTACTAAAGTATTTATACAAAAATCTGTTTTCCATTTCTAATTTACTAACTTAACATTTATGTTATTTCAGAGTTACTAAATACATAGTTAATCTATACCAAATTTGATTATTATCAAACTAATCACTTTTTAGAATACTTTTAAAATAACACCTTTTTCGTATGGTATATTTGAACAATAATATTAAAATTGTATAAATAAAAAATTTCACACTACATAAATTTAAGAAGTAATTGAATATTTTTTTGTACGGGTCACATTTCTTGTAGTCGTTTTGAGATACTTATTCTGATAGAAAAATTAATATGTCACAAATGTAAACATTTAACACACCTCACTTATCTTTATTATATTTTCGATTAATTAAGAAATAATACGCCCCATTAATGTTTGTAATGATTCGATATTTATGTATGTGTATGTATAATACATACATTATGATTAAATGACAATTGAATCCAAAAAAATTTTTTGTTTACATTGAATTTATTTTAGAATGTTTTTTTTTTCATTTTATAAAAAGTTTACAGTAAAACTCTTTTTGTACAACATTGCATGTCCACTAATATAAATTTTGGAAAATTTTACTAAATTCTAATTTTCAAATTTTTATTTCAAAACATTTATTGAAATCATAATTTATATGAAAATAGCGCTCTTCTAGATTGTGATAGTAAATACAATGATAGCATTTGTGTGATAGGGAAATACAGAGGAGGGTTGAAGAGTCCCGATTTCAATAAGGGAGAAAAACTTAAATAATTATCCTTTCAGAAAGTTTTGTTTCACTAATTTTAGAACTATATTCTTTTGTTCCAATATGCCATTTTATAAATATTTATTTGTATATTGTTGCTTATATACACCGGTTCTAAAAAGTTGGCTTATCACATTCGGTTTCTGCGGGTCTGGAAAAATAATAAAATTTTTATATTAATTTCAAAAAAAATGTTTAATTATATTAAAAAATATGGAAAAAAATCGGATGTGATCAGTAAATAACCGGCCGCAATGTGTAATAAAGTTCAACAAAAGTGATGAAGAAAATATAAAAATGGATTTTAAATACTTCTTTCCAAAATTTATGTACGCTAGTAAGCTTTTAGTTAACATATTTAGAAAAATGCAAATTTGACTCTTAGTGCAGTCGGTTGGTGTCATCTAAATTTTTTGAAAAGTTCACTAGATATACCCGGTAGTAGACATAACTCAAATATTAAATTTCAACAAATTCCGTCAGTTGGTTCCTTAGATATGGGAAAAAATGCAGAATTGGTACCCATCTTGGTTTCCGAGCTGCAATGTTCCCGAAATTCATTTTTTTAAATCTTTAATTTCAATATTAAATTTCAGGGAAATCGGCCGATTATTTCATTTTTTTTGCATAAAAATGTCAATTTGACTCATAATAAAAATCGAGTTGCTAACACCTGATTTGTTCCAAAAGTCTTCACCTAGGTGGATTTTCGTTTTGTCATAGGAAGCTGATAGATAAAATTTCAAATCGGAATGTAAAAGAATTTAGTTCTCCAGACTAGACATATCCCAAAAGAAGATCATTCCGTGACAAAGCCAAAATTAATTCACATATAAAATTTCAACAAAATCGGTTTAGCCGAACTTTTGAAGTTATTTCTAATTTGCTGCTTTTTTACCATTATAAAAAATAAAAATTCATTTAAAAAATTGTTTTTATTTTGAATCTAGTTCAGCTTAAAACAATTCCATTGTTGAATTTTTGAGTTTTGTTTTCTCAATCAGTTAACCGTTTTTCTTTTATACTTATTTAAAATGATTGATTGTGTTGAAACTAAAATGTGACACTTTGTATTTTATACATTAAGTACATTTTTGAAAAGGGTTTATTTTTTTTTTAAATAATCGGTTAATTAATATTTATTTTTCTATGTTTAAATTTTAAAAATTAAGGCGTATTTTTCAAAATATTACGAAAAAATGAGTTTAGAAGGTTTATTGAATACATTATTTACATTAGAAGTTTTGTTAAAATAGTACGAGTTAAAATTCAATCAAGTTCACATTTTGTTTAAGCGTTTAATGAGTTTTAATCAATAATTTTGGTTAATTTTATCAATCACATGTTTGTGAAAATGTGCATATGCACTTAATATACTTCATTAATTCAATTTGTAAATAAATTTGTATTTTATTATCGTTAAAGAACTATTTTAGAATAAATTTTCCACTCATAAGTATAGGACAAGTAGAATTTTCCATTCTCAGTGAGTGTAGAGAGATAATTTGGAATGTTTTTCTTATCTGAAATAATGTAATTGGATTTATACAAAATATTCGCTATTAATAAAAAAGTATACTTTTAGGCGAATATGTTGCATGTATCTTCATTAAAGAAGATCATCGGAATCTAAAGCAGTACATTATAGTCAGGCAATATGTATAAACAGAACAAGTTAAAAGTATACATTTCTTATAAATTCAATATTAAAATTCACTTGTTTTACCTGTAATTTTTTGAAAATAATGTTACTGTTCTTCAGTTTTTTAATTTTACTTTTTATTTTAAAGCATAATAAAATTATTTATGAAAATGAAAAATTAATTTTAAGAATACTTACATAATTTCGAATTGAAATTAAATTTATTTTTGTGCAAGAAAAAATAGTGTTGACCATGTAAACTCTATGATACCCGTACGAATTGGTTATTCAATGTGCGAATAAATATGTCATATCTGATTATGGAACAGACTATGGCTTTAAGTTGCCATATTATCATATTAATTTACACAAAATTTTTAGTACTGTGTTTTCAATATTTTTTAAGATATGGTTAAACTAATAGTGTGGTTGTATGGGAGCTACCAGAAAGAGCCAAGCAATTTCAACAAGTTTTATCAAACATATTGGCCCGTACGAGTTCGTACGAGTATAATAATGCTTAATAAATATACGGGTATCAATATATGAACGGTATGTTA